GGGTCGCTTGGAAGGCTTCATGGGTTTAAAAGTCCACTTCCAATCATTTTAGTTAGTAGCAAGTGCTTACCGAATGCCTGCTGTTTCTCAGCACTCTGATGCTGGCTGTCTGCGGCAGGCTTGGGAAATGACATTCCTTTCTCCTGCTGCAGAAGCCAGAGTCCTCATCTTTCCCCGACACTCGTTCATTTGGAGCCTCCCATTCAAAATGAAAGCACACCGGTGTGTGATTTGCACCGTGATGTAACGCGGAATCCCCACTCAGGAGACCCTGTATAGGAAATGCATATGTAAGGCTAACCATGCCTTTAGTGACATAAAACACATGCACACATTTTTCAGAACTTGAAGGGTTCTTTGTTTGTTTTTTTGAGACAGGGTTTCTCAGTATAGTTGGGAGCCTGTCCCGGAACTAGCTCTGTACTAGGCTGGCCTTGAACTCACAGAGATCCCCTGCCTCTGCTTCTTGGGTGCTGGGATTAAAGGAGTGTGCCACCGCTGCCTGGCTAAAACTTGACATTTTAATATTATGAAAAGGTTTCATACTGTAAAAAAGCCCAGAGACTAAAAGTATAAAGATACTCTTACTCATCTCTTTTATTAATCTGCCATATTTGCTTCATGCTGTTTATGTTTATGACCTAGGCCGACCTTGAGCACAGATCCTCTGGCCTCTCCTTCCCAAGAGCTAGGATAATGGGCCTGTGCCTGATAATGATGCCATCCACGTCTTCTCTGCCTCCTCCTTCCCCTCTTCCTCCCTTTCCCCCTCCCCCCTTCTTCTTTACACTCATGATCCAAGAGTCCCAATCACTCCTCCTCCGCGCCTTCCTTACCTTCTCTCTTTAGGGTAAGAAGGAATCCATCTTATTCCTCTGGTTCCCATGTTTGTTCTTTCACGGTTTATCTGTTTCATGCAATTAAAATTTCATTAGGGGGTAACCCTTACAGACGGGTTTGCGGTTCCCTTTTTTTGCTCAACCTTGTGTTAGGAGCTGGCCACATGGATGCACAATTGGGTGCTCCACTGCTTGGAACCAGTGTTTGAATTCTATCACATGCCTGCGCCATTATTCTCGCCCAGAATCGTATCTCTTTTGAGGGGTGGCGGTGGTTAATCTTGTCAACCCTGAGTGTGTCTTCTGGTGTCTCCAGAGAGGGTTAACTAAAAAGGAACTGGGCCTCATTGCACACACTGGGGGTTTTAAAGAAACCAAAGGGGAAAGGGGAGCACAGCTAAAACAGATGCACACTGTCTATGGCACTGTAGCCTTCCCCCACACCGTCCTATGGGGACCTTCTGAAGGCCTGAGCCAAAGACACCTCTCCTCCTTCGTTTCCCCGCCTCCATGCTTACGTCAGAGACTTTTGTTCTAGGGAGGGCACACAAACACAAGTGTCACTTAGCTTGTTTGCAGTATTTTGCCCTGATAATAGGAAGAAGCCCGCTACTCCTCTGGCCCAGTTGGGCTCCAACTTCAAAATAAAGTCTCTTAATTCTGAACACTTCTCTGTGCTCTACAGTGACCATCAGTATCTTAGGCCTCCCAGCTCTTACCCCCTCCATCTACACCATCCATGGGGTCAGATTGGGGCCCCAGTCTGTAAATCCTTCAGCGTCTTCCCATCATGCCTGGAATAAAAGCAGAGATCTTTCATAGCTAAGAAGCCGCAAATGTCTAGTTTCTTTCTCTTTTCCTGTGTACAGCCTTGGGACCAGATGCCACCTGCCTGAAACCAGTACCTCCTCTCTTCCTGTGGCGTCCCTGACTGCTCAGGCTCCTAGTTGCGCAGCACCTGGTTGTATAACTTCCGTAGCGGTAAGCATCCTTTATCTCCTATCTTCTGCTTTTCCCTTTGCTTTTATCTTTCTTACAGTGATTACACCGGGAACTCTCTCATGTACTCCAGTTCCTCCATCAGAATGGAAACTCTCTGGCCCTCCTATCCCTACTACTCAGAACAGCACCTGCTGCACTAGCCCTCCAACACTGTTAGAGACAGGGCCTTGAAAGCCCCCGCCCCATGGTGAAGCCCCTCCCCACAAGCACATTAGGATTGTTTCTTCAAGGAAACTATACCCACCCTTCCTGTGCTCACATTCTATTTCAATGAGAAAGAAACAGAGGAACGCAGGAGAACAAACACTATCTACCAGGTAGTTGAGATTGTTGTGGTCCTGGGAGCCAGAGTGGGGTTGGTGCAGGGGCCTGGAGGGAGGGGTAAGTGGGGAGTCACTAATCCAGTGACCATCCAGGGAAACAAGTTGAACAGATCCTAAAAGGCTGCTGTTTCAACACTGTCAACAACACCATACACTCAATTTTCAAATTCTAAGTAAAGACTGTATCAATTAGTCTTGCCAATAACAATAGGATTACTAAATTAATGTATTTACAAGCTCACACACCAAAATAGAAGAAAATATGCTAGTTGAAGCCCAATGAATTGACTCCATAATCTACCTACAGGTCTGAACCTGCAGTAGAAACCATTCCTCTAGTGCACCTGTCTTGAAGTTCTCGAGTTGTTCTCCAATAAACGGAATCCACAGTACTAATGTTTTTGTAAGAACTGATCTATTCTTACTTAATGCTTGCTCTCAGCAGGCAACTTTTTGTCTCTGGTAGCAAAATTATATTTCTATGTCTCATGTGCATTTTCCTGATCACTAATAAGATTAGCAGTCTTAAAAAAAAACACAAAAAGAGACTTTATCCAAACAAAACAAAACCCTGTAAACCAAGCCAGGTGGTGGGGAATGCTTTAAATTTCAGCACTTGGGAGGCAGAGGCAGGCAGATCTCTGTGAGTTTGGGGTGTGCTCTACAGAGCTAGTTCCAGGACAGCCAGGCCTATACAGAGAACCCCTGTCTAGAAAAACCAAACCAAACCAAAAAACAAAAAACAAAACAAAACAACCAAAGAAGAAACAACAAAAGAAACATGTGAACCAAATTTTTTGGCTTTTTGAGACAGGGTTTCTCTGTATAGTCCTAGCTGTCATGGAACTTGCTCTGTAGAACTGGCTGGCTTTGAACTCACAGAGATCTCCCTGCCTCTGCCTCCCAAGTGCTCAGATTAAATGTGTGCCGCACCACCTGCTGCCACCACCACTACCCCGCTTCTAGATTTGAGATAAAGAATGCTGCTGGGTGACGGTCACGCACACCTTTAATCCCAGAACTCGGGAGGCAGAGGCGGGAGGATTTCTGTGAGTTCGAGGCCAGCCTAATCTACAAGAGGTAGTTCCAGGACAGCCAGGGCTGTTACACAGAGAAACCCTGTCTCCAAATAAATAAATAAATAAATAAGTAAATAAGTAAATAAATAAATAAATGACTAAGAATGCTCTTATCAGAACTTTAACAGGCAAAGCGACTTGGGTGTTCCCTTCATTCTGTGACCCCACGTGTTCTGTTTTTCTTGCACAGAACTATATTCATAAGAACACTGCAGAAGGATAGTTTTATCTCACCCTTCACTTAGTTGTTTATTTGCCCAACAAATGTTGATTGAGGACTTGGCTGCTACCAGGAATTTTGCCAAACAAACCAATAGCTGCTTCTCCTGATGTTTACTTTGGGGACTGGAGTTCTTTGTCTCTTGCACAGAGGGAGGGCGACCTTTGGGCAGCTTTTTCCCATCCATTGTCTTCCCACGTTATTTATTTATAAGGTTTTATGGTCAGTATCTAGAGAAAACTGTGTGTGCGTTTCTGTGCTCTGTTCACAGCCATGGACTGTGGCGGCATCAATACCAAAGGAAAGTTTTGAAATGAGGGAAAATGCTTTCACTTCAACACTGTTTTAAATCTATGATTATAATTAAAGTTTTTTTTTTTTTTTTTTTTAAGGCATCACAGTTTTTTCGGTTCTTTCTTCTTTAAGCGAGTGGGTTTTTTTTTTTTTTTTTTTTTTTTTTTTCCTCTTTAAAAGAGGGAAGCCTCAGTCCGGGAGATGGTGGCTCCTGCCTTTAATCCCAGAACTCTTTATCCCAGCACTTGCAAGGCAGAGGCAGGCGGATCTCTGTGAGTTCGAGACCAGCCTGGTCTACAAGAGCTAGTTCCAGGACAGGCTCCAAAACCACAGAGAAACCCTGTCTCGAAAAACCCAAAAAAGGCCGGGCGGTGGTGGCGCACGCCTTTAATCCCAGCACTCGGGAGGCAGAGGCAGGCGGATCTCTGTGAGTTCGAGACCAGCCTGGTCTACAAGAGCTAGTTCCAGGACAGGCTCCAAAACCACAGAGAAACCCTGTCTCGAAAAACCCAAAAAAAAAAAAAAAAAAAAAAAAAAAGGGAAGCCTCACTTATTTTATTGGTGTGGCTGGTTTGACAAGAAGGCTTATGAAAAACAGGTCTTCTTTCAAACTAACCCGGTAGTTTCCAATTTTACCTGAAGAAAATCGTCAGCAGCATGTATCTCAGAAAGATAAATCTCTAAAGAATTTTACCCTCCAGGTAAGTCTTTTTGAACCTGCAAGGAATGTTTGTTACTTTTAAACCCATGAGTCAAGAGTCAAACAGTCGACTTCAGAATCTTTCTGGAAGCACCAAGACTTAACACAGCTAAAGACTTCAGACAGATAGTGGTGTGGTTTGCCAGATAAGAGGTGCTACGCCCGGGATAAATCAGCTAGTTGTGGGTGGTGTCGCTGTTGGCTTCTTTGACATTTGTCCATTTTTTAAAAGATTAAACCACAGCAGAAAAGAGAACGCCGGGGTTGGCTCTGCACGCAGTCTTTGCCAGCCCTCCCCTCTCTCGTGCCGCACACAAATCAGCCGGCCAGTCCCGGGACCTCGGCAGTCACTTTCGCGCCACTTTCTCAGGACCGCGCAGCTCAATAAAGAACGAGCAGCAATAAGTCCCCCAAAGCCACGTCTCAAAGCGCATTCAGCAGTTCCCGAGTACACTCAAGATTACTACGGTTGGAACCGCTTTGGTATTTTCCCCCTGGGACTTGGGCTCTACGGAGGCAACGAGAGCAGTCATCTTAGCTGACAGGACCTGTGAGCCGGCGCGGGAAAGTCGGCGGCCCCGCCCCTCCGGCGGCGGAGTGCGCGCCCCTCCTCTGCCCCGGAGCTCCTTCAGCTCTGCCTGCTAGTGCTTTTGGGCTCCCGAAGAGCTGACCCCGCTCGGAGTGCTTGGGTACCCGCCGCCAGCATGGAGGCTCGCCGCACGCGGGTGAGGCCCGGCCGGGTGCACTGGGGCGGAGTTGGTGGGTGGTTGGACGCCGGCGGGCAGGGGCCACTTCCCTCCGACTCCGCGGGGGAGCGCCGCACTCTTGTCCCTTGGTGCTTCTGTTCGTCGCCAGGTTGGGGGAAGTCACGATTGCTTTTCTTATAATCTTTGCACCCAGGACAACTCTGGGCTAAGGGGATGCGCCTGCCGGCGTGCACGGGGTTGGCAGTGCTGAGGGAGCCTGCGGTAGGTGCGCTCGTGCTACACGTGCGCGCCGGAGGCGGGGGGCTGGTCGCTGGTGGTGGTGTCCGGCGAACGAATCCCCAGCCTTTCCGTCCCCTGGACTTAGCTCTGCATTACTTGCTCACGGCGGGTGCGTGACTTTCCACGCGTGAACTGGTGGCCCTGGAACCCGCTTCCTCTGCTCTGAGACCCCTTCAACCACTCTGGATCTGTGGGTTTAGGATTGAAGACCTTGTGAACAGCTCTTGAGAACTTGGGTTGTGCACGTGGGGGAAGGTATTGTTTTAGTCCCAGGCTGTGACTTGAACCAGTTCAAGGGTCTGGCGGTACAAGCCGTGCTACACGGCGGTTTAAAGTGTGCTTCCTTGTCCCCTCCTCCCCACCCCTTCTCTATCTCACTGCAGCTGCGAGCTGCCCCGAGTGGAACGTTACTTTTTTGCTCCAACGGAAGCTAGAACTTAGGTCCTGCCCTGAAGAGGGGCGAAGAGTGAGGGGGATGGGCGGAAAGGAAGACAGTGGCTTAAAATAAATATTAGAGGTTCGGGACCCTGTGGGGAGGTCTGGATGAGTAGGCGGGGTCGTGGTTTGATCATTATCGTTACGATTATCTCCGCCCGTGGGGAATTGGATTGAATGCGCATTTGGGCACCCGGCTGGAAGAATCGGTTTCACCCCTCCGAGTTTCAGTTTTCCTGATTTAAGTGATAGTAATAATGCTACCTTTGCTTCAAAATATTAAGCAAACATCGCTAGCAAGTCTGCCGCCATGAGACGCTCGCCATAAATGGAATTAGAATTATGGCTGCCAAGAAAGTTCTCCTCAGGCGTGGCCATTTCCTCTGCTTTTCTGTCTCTTTTCCCTGTAGGATATATTTGGCTGGTGGATGACTCTTGGCCTGCCGTGGCTTGTTAAAGCTTAGCCTGTTTTCCTGGCTCCTTTTGATTGGCTGGCATGGAGGGCTAATGACATAGATCGATTAGAAAAGTGAAGAGACTCGAAGTCATTTAAGGAGCGGCACTGTTTTAGGGGATCTCTTGGGTTTTGCGTTGTGTTATACCTTGTTGTCTTGGGCTTTCTCATCTGGAAAACGGAGCAGAGACTTTTGGGTTTCCTTTTGACCCCTGACAACACACTGGCTCGAGCATTTACTGTAACTACAGCTCCTATATTTTATAGCTTTCCCCATCGCCACATGGAATGAGGGGAGGTTGGGTTGCCATCATCTGGGAAATAATTTTATTGATCCTGAGAGACAGTTTCGTGAGGAAGTCCAGCTCTCCACATCTAGGCATTCTCTCTCCCCCAACGCATCTGGGCACTCTTACGGAGCTGGTAACAGCTTGCCTTTCCAGTTTTCAGTGCTATTCCGTGAATCTATTTAAGACTATAAGACCTGGCCAGGCGGTGGTTGCAGCATGTGCCATTGATCCCAGTGCTCGGGAGGCAGAGGCAGGTGGATCTCTGAGTTCTAGGCCAGCCTGGTCTACAGAACGAGTTCTGTACCAGTGAAGTTACATTTTCTAGTGAACAGTACAGGGCTGTAAATGGGACTGAGTGGAGCATTTTCGTATCTCCAAGTAATTTTACCTTATGAAAACTTTAAAAAAAAAAAACTCTCAAGCCGGGCGGTGGTGGCGCACGCCTTTAATCCCAGCACTGTGGGGGGGGGGTGTAGAGGCAGGAGTATCTCTGTGAGTTCGAGGCCAGCCTGGTCTACAAGAGCTAGTTCCAGGACAGGAACCAAAAAAGCTACGGAGAAACCCTGTCTCGAAAATTTAAAAAAAAAAACAAAAACAAAACTCTCCTCCATGGGCTAGGCAAATGCTTACCACTGGGCTCTACACACACACACACACATCTTAAAAATTTCAAGTCCTAAGGGGTTGTGAGAGGGCACTGCATGAAGACTGTGGTCATGGAGAGCTCAGCTGGACTTTGAGTATGAGTTGCCCTCTAACTTGGCTTCTTGCGCCATGTGTTTGTGGGCTGATAATCCTTGATTTGTAAGGGCCGTGCTGCACCTCCGTACCCCTCCTCACTGGTACCCCTCCTCACTGGAACGGGGCTGTTTGGATGACTGCCATCTTAAAGCACAGGACCTGCCCAATTTTTGTAGTTTGGGAAATTAGCATCACAGTGCAGCGCTCAAAGCCTACATAAAAAGACCTCATTAGCTTGGTTTTTGGCTGAGGGAGAAAACTTGCTCTGCCATCTTGCACTTTCGAAATCTCCTTTGAGAAGTACGGTTCAATCAGAAAAAAAAATGAGGTTGGATTTGGGGAGCTGGCATTAAACTCGGTGGATCTGAATATAATGCTGATGCTTAGGACTATAGGGTGGGAAGAGAAGTACTGCAGATGTTTGGATAAATTGATAAATATCATTAAAATGTTCTCCAGGAGTGATCCTTTCTCAGAATTGGACCTGAGTTGATTGGTGGGGGGGTTAGCCATTGCCAATCTCACTCTTTCTCTGTAGGGCCTGGAATAGCAATGTGTCCGTCTCCTCTGCTGTGTAAATGCACCAGACTGAGAAAGATGTCTTTAGTGGTCCTGTGCTGCAGGAAGCAGGCCACTCAACAGTGTTGCCATTTCTCCTTGCAGCAAAAGGCTCTCAAAGTGAAGGACTTAAAGAACGTTGGGTATATGAAGCTGATTTCCATGGAAACGTCGTCCTCCTCTGATGACAGTTGTGACAGCTTTGCATCTGATAATTTTGCAAACACAGTAAGTGTGGCCTGAGAATAAACAGAATTGAGTCTGCAATGCTCCAAATGCCCCAACATGCTTTGTGCGCGATTAAAACCGCTTGCTTTTTGCCTGCCTTTCTGTACAGCCGCTAGGAAAATACGGCATGCGCTGTAATTTCATCTCGCTCTTTGCTGTGGTTCTAGGTAGTAATTGTTGGAGGTAGATTAGCTGCTTGTTGTGTCCTTTTGAAATGTCGCCTAACCCAACAGGACTGATGACTCGCTGTAACAACTCAGAAATCATTTGTAAACCTCTGAAACGTTTTTTCTTTGTAACAAAAGCCATTCTCTTGTAGTGCACTTGTAAATGTGATTTGCTCTCTGCACGGTTTATGGAAAATTGGTTCTTGAAAGAAGGAAAAAAAATCCACAACCACATTTATTTATTTCACAGAAACCTAAATTCAGGTCAGATATCAGTGGAGAACTGGCTAATGTTTTTTATGAGGGCTCTGATAATCTTCCTGCGGCTTTCCAAAGGGTGAGGTGCGGGATGCATTAAGCCATTGTGGATTTTTGCAGAAACCAAGGCCAGATGTCGCTAACGAATTGGCCAGCATTTTCCATGCCGACTCTGATGATGAATCATTTTGCGGTTTTTCAGAGAGTGAGATACAGGATGGAATGGTGAGTTTGAGAAGTTCACCAGTATCAAGAAGTGAGGTGCATGCAGAGGCTGGAGAGATTTGCTCTTTGACCCTCACATCCCCCTCCCCCATCATCACCCTCCCCCCAGCTCTCCTGTCAGTTCAGCTGCCAGACTTGTTCCCCTGATCAAATGCTTTCTTCTCTCCTTAAAGCCATGTTTACTCATATCCTCCTTGTAGGCCTTAGACTTTTGTTTTAAGGTTCCACAAATCTTGGAAATTTGTTTAACAAAGTTGGCTAGCCTCCAGATCGCTGTTAGCCTCAGATCTGGCCTAATCACAGGCAATGCATACGTCCTAGACTAGCCACATTGGCACGTAGATGCAGGTACCCGGCCCAGTGTTGGCACAGAGCTGACAAAGGCAGGTTCCATAGTTCTAGCTGTGCCTGCATCTTGGGAACCGCCAAGGACATCGTGTAGGTGATACCAAGTAGGGCCTCTGCTGCTTCTGTGTTTGCTTGCTCTCTGGTCTGCTTCGCTGCCCACATACGCTTCCCTCCCCTCTCAGCTGTTGCTGGAGCCAGTGTAGCAGCCTTGGACTTTCCCCTAAGGAAGCGGGGTGTACATTACAACCACCTGCATGCTACTATCTTCACCGTATCTGACAACGGTCCCCACAGGCCACCCATTGGGTGACGCTGCTGTGAGGGACAGCACTGGCCCTGGGACTACTTTATCACCGCCCGTAACAATGCAAGCTTCCCCTAATCAAAGACTTGCGACCCAGTTGGTGGCTGGGGACAGTGTGCAGATCTGGGTGTGACCCATTTGTCTGTGGCCTGACTGTCCTAGGCAGTCCATTAACTCTGTAGGTATTAACTTGTGATGAAGAAAGTGGCAGCTGATTGAAAGTGCTAAGAATTCATGACAGTTTTGTTTCATGACCTCCGTCCCTGAACACTGAAAGCTGCCCATGGGGATCCTTAGTGGGTCCTGCGCAGCAAACCCAGGGCCTTAGACACGCTAAACTCAGACCCTGCCGCTGAACTACATCCACAGCCCATTCAGTTTTTTGAGGGGCCGGGGAGATAACTCTGCTTGCCGTGTATAAATGCTTAGTGGGTGTAGTGGCTCATCTGTAATCCCAGCTTCTCAGAAGGCAGAGATAGGGTCGCTAGGGCAAGCTGCCTGGCAAGACTCTATGGCACATCCGAGTGCTCTGGCTTTGATTGAGAGAGCCTGTCTCAATCAGCAAGGTCAAGGGTGATTCCTGATACTAAACTCAGGCTTGACTTGTGCACACCAAGAATGAGAGTAAGCTGTCGTGAACGGTCCTGTCCAAAGCTTTTATATGACTGTGTTCTTGGGTCTAGACCTAGGAGTAGGTGGCTGGGGTTTCTAGAGACTTTAACTTTTGAGCAAGCTATGTTAGTTGATAGGAAGTGGTATCCTATCTAGGTCTTGACTTACAAAAAGTTAAGTTGTGCAGTACCTAGACTGGTCAAATTCAAAGACTAGAAAGATGGTGGTTGTCAGGGACTGGTGGTGGGGAGAACGGATAATTTTTCTTTATTTGCTTGTTTTTGAGACAGGATCTGGCAGTGTAGTGTAGAACTCGCTGTGTAGCTCAGGGTTCCTGCTTGTAGGGTTTACACACCCAACATACCGGACTGTTGAACGAACCTGAAGTTTCAGTTGGGGAAGAGGAAAATCTTGAAATGGTCTGCACATAGTGATGTGCATTTTAATCACAATTAAAAATGAATTGGATATGGACAGTTTAGGAGATTATTTATTACCATCGGAGGCATTGAAACCATGTTCGTGGGTGAGCGTAGGTGCTCCCAGAGGACGTTATGAAAATGACTAAGGATTGGTTTTAAGGAAATGGGAAGAGGGCAGGAGGTGTTTTTTTTTTTTTTTTTTTTTTTTTTTGGTTTTTCGAGACAGGGTTTCCCTGTGGCTTTGGAGCCTGTCCTGGAACTAGCTCTGTAGACCAGGCTGGCCTCGAACTCACAGAGATCCATCTGCCTCTGCTTCCCGAGTGCTAGAATTAAAGGCGTGTACCACCACCGCCCGAAGGAGTTTTCATGTTTTAAAAAACTCAGAAGCATAGGTCTCAGGACTGTAAAGACAGTGTCTCAGATGAGCAACCGAATGGAGCTCTTCTCCAATGTAATCATTTTCAAGTCTTGATTTGTTACCCATGATCCTTGCTGTCCACTTACGGCTGATTTGTCCTTGTCTTTTATTCCAAATGGATTTTTTTTTTTTTTTTGAGACAGTGTTTCTCTACGAAGCTTTGACTGTCCTGGAACTCACTCTGTAGACCAGGCTGCCCTCAAACTCACAGAGATACGCCTGCCTCTGCCTCCCTGAGTGCTGGGATTAAAGGCGTGTGCCACCTCTACCCGCCTCCCAAAAGGATTTTGTAGTGGTCTTTGGTTTCACTTGTATGCAGGTCCTTACCAACTCCCTTTCTCTGGTTGACTAGAGACTGCAATTGGACAGGGAAGGCTGCAGGACCCGAAGTCAGTGCCGTCACTCGGGACCTCTCAGGGTAGCCATGAAGTTCCCAGCACGAAACCCGCGGGGGCCAGCCAACAAAAAAGCCGTCCCCTCAAAACCCCCTGAGAACTCTGCAAACGATTCCCATTCTGACTCTGAGGAAGAAGACGGCATGAACTTTCTGGAGAAGAGGGCTTTAAATATAAAGCAAAACAAAGCAATGGTAGGTGTTTGGATGTACCCGAAGGAACCCTTTGCGGCTTTTCTCTAAGCAATTCAGTTTCTTCTACCTCTCTGTTTGCATGTAGTTGTGAAGACTTAATGATGTGTTTTGAATGTTTATATTTGTTTTTATTTACGTGGGAGAAGGGGCTCTGCTATGCGTGCAGTGCCCTTGGAGGCCAGAAGAGGGCATTTTGTATCCCCTGGAACTGGAGCTAAAGCCTGGTTGTGCGTTACCACGTTGGCGCTGGGAACTGAACCCGGGTCCTCGGCAAGAGCAAGTGCTTTTACTAAGTAGAAGGTTGAGGGATAGGCTAGTATTATTTCCACAAATTGCCTCTTGTCACCAGTTACAATTTCCGTTTACTTTCTCCCCCTTTAGCTTGCAAAGCTGATGTCAGAATTAGAAAGCTTCCCTGGCATATTCTCCGGGAGACATTCCCTCTCTGGTCACGGATCCAAAGGTGTAAGTGCTTCTTCCTGAACTCTTGTTTTGGACACGCCCAGAACAGATCTCTGAGATTTTAGAGTCTTGTTTTTGTATTGGGGGTGGGGGGTCACTAGAAACCGCCCTTTTATTTTTTTCTTCTTTGGTTTTTCAAGACAGGGTTTCTCTGTAGCTTTGGAGCCTGTCCTGGAACTAGCTCTTGTAGACCAGGCTGGCCCCCAACTCACAGAGATCTGCTTTGCCTCTGCCACCCTTGGCCACGCCCCTTTTGATCATTTCTCTCCATACTAGCAGCAAGGAAGATGGATAACTTGTTTCTGTGTACCCAAGCAGCATATTTTTTTCCTACATGCTAGATGCAAAATAGGGTTTTTGCTTGTATTTTGTTTTTGTTGTTTTTGATTTTTCAAGACAGGGTTTTTCTGTGTCGTAGTCCTGGCTGTCCTGGAACTCACTTTGTAGACCAGGCTGGCCTCAAGCTCACTGAGATCCACCAGCCTCTGAGTGCTGGGATTAAAGGTGTGTGCGACCACCGCTTGGCTCAAAATCGGTCTTTTTAAGACATATTGAGGGAAAAGAAAGTATACAGAATTTCTTTGTCAAGTCATACCCTACTAAGAAGTGGATCTGTATTGTGTGTTTCCTTCACCAGTCAAAGTCCCCTAGAAGACGCACATTCCCAGGCGTGGCTTCCAGAAAGAACCCTGAACGGAGAGCCCGGCCTCTTACCAGGTCAAGGTCCCGGATCCTGGGGTCTTCGGGCGCTCTGCCCACAGAAGAGGAGGAGGAAGAAGAGGAAGAGGATAAATACATGCTAGTGAGGAGGAGGAAGTCCGTGGATGGCTACATGAATGTGAGTCCTCCTCCATGGTATCTGCTCCTGTTTCCCCTCCTCGGGAAGCTTAGCATTGAACACACAGCCTCAGGCCACTCCACGTCATCAACGCTACCTAAGCCATCAATGCTACGTAAGCGTCCTTAATTTTGTTCGCGGACAAGAGCCAGATTTTCAACTTCCCAGTATTTGTAAGAATAGTTTCTAAGCTTCCGGCTAGTTATCCTGACAGCAAATTATGCGGGCTGCCCCCTCTCTTTATGAGCCAGAAAGATTTCCCAGACTGGATTTCCTGTGAAAAGTTATACACGAAGCGTCTTGAGATTTAGGGCTGTAGAGAGGAACTCGATTTCCTGCTTCTTCTGCAGGACGATGACATGCCCAGAAGCCGTCGCCCTGGATCCATGGCCCTCCCGCATATAATCCGCCCTGTGGAAGAAGTTACCGAGGAAGAGATCAGGAACATCTGCAGCAACTCTCGGGAGAAGATCTACAACCGGTCGCTGGTGAGTGCCCCGGGGTTGTCCCCCTCCGGAGGACAGACAGCCCCTGTCCTAAGGGTGCCTGCCACACATGGTATATCTGTGGTCTGGACATTCAGCCCTGCACGATTTTTTGTTTTTTTCATACAAGGGAAGAAGAGTTTTACAGTATGCCTGGGAAGTCTGCAGTAGGGTTATATCTTCTTAACATAGAAGTTGATTCGTGCAGCTTGGATTTACTGTGTACTGTTAGGGTGTGTGTATCGGCAGCTACTGGGATGCAATGGTGAGCCAAAGGGGTTTGTTGTTGTTGTTGTTCAAATGGATTTGGGAGAAGAAAAATGGATTTGGTAGAATTTTTTTTTTCCTGTGCTGGGGATCACACCCAGGACCTTGAGTGAGTTAAACATGTACTCTGGTCTGAGTTGTGTCTCCTCCCCCTCACCCCAATAGTTTTGATGATACTACTATTGTCCCACCAATAGAGTGGGAAGCCTTGCTTGAGGTACTTATTTTCCTATTTGTGTGTGCAGGTGCTAAGTGAACTTCAAAGATCGAGTTTCAGGTCCCTTATTAGAGTGTGGGTGTTCTTTGTGTCATTTTTTTTTTTTTTTTTTTTTCTGCAAACAGCAGTGTTTGCTTCTTCTCTCATCTGGTCCTCCTTTCAGGGTTCTACATGTCATCAGTGTCGCCAGAAAACCATTGACACCAAAACAAACTGCAGGAACCCAGACTGCTGGGGCATCCGGGGCCAGTTCTGTGGGCCCTGCCTTCGAAACCGCTATGGGGAAGAAGTCAAGGACGCTCTGCTGGACCCGGTAGGTGCCGGGAAAAGATTAGGGGAGGGAATCGAACTTGCGGTGTCGGGAGTGATGTAACTGTCCAGAGAGCTCAGGGCTGCTGCTCATAGGTTGATTCTGTGTGTGTGTGTGTGTGTGTGTGTGTGTGTGTGTGTGTGTGTGCGCGTGTGCTGCCAGGGCTCTAGAACCCAGGGCTTTACATATGCTAGGCAAATGTTCTCACGCTGAGCCAGAAACTTGGATTCCTGTTTTATGACTTAAGTTATTAATTAAAAAAAAAAAGTCACAGGGTAAATGAGTTGATGCTGAGTACTTGAGTGGCTAAAGAAACGGAACCAATGGATGGAGGTAAAGGGATGCTTAGCCTCAGGGTGCTTTCCCACAATTCTTCAGAACTGGCACTGCCCGCCCTGCCGAGGAATTTGCAACTGCAGCTTCTGCCGCCAGCGTGATGGACGGTGCGCCACGGGGGTCCTCGTGTATTTAGCCAAGTATCATGGCTTTGGGAACGTGCATGCTTACTTGAAAAGGTAACGGCCATGTGTTTTTCCTCTTTCACGTCTGAGTCTTAGTTTCATTTATGCGCCTTAATAAGATGATAGACTTCTGGAGAGTGGCTCTGTTGGGGCAGCTTAGCGGAAATGCGTCTTCAGTTGAGCAGGTCATGGATATAACATGGGTTGGATGACTAGGACTTGTGTGTTGACAGTATATATGTTAGGGCTCCTTTTTTTTTTTTTTTTAAGAAATAAATTTGACTTTCCAAAGCGAATTATTGGTTTAGAACCATCTTGACATCTTCCTCTTTGCCCTTCACAGTCTGAAGCAGGAATTTGAAATGCAAGGCTGAAGATCTGCTGCCTGCTTTCGGCTTCTCACGGCTCTCTTCCTGACGCTGTCGTGGATGGGCGCCTGTCGGTCTTAGAACTCAGTCAGATTAATCTTGTGGGATTCACACTTGTTTCGGGGACCTCATATCGCTAGTTCCCCAAAGTTTGCCCTGGCCCCTACCTTGTAGCCTCCCCACTCCCATGGTCCTTTGTCACCACTTAGAGTTCTTAAGTGGCAGTTTTTGAGAGCGTACTTGTTTTATTGGTGTTGAAATCGTCTCAGGACATACCAATAAACCCGAGCACTTAGGGGTCCGGTAGTGTTGGGAACAACGGTTCTGCTAGATTGCAGAGAACAGTCCTTCCCCTTGTTTACACAGAATCGATGCGTGCGGGTTAGCGTCTTGCATGCTGTCGGCTGACGTTTGAAATGGATCGGGCCGAGGCACAAACAAAGGTCTGAAAACCATGTGGGAAATTAGGTAATTGCTGGGAAGTGGAGTAGAGCGTTGAATGACTTTCTGGAAAAAAAGAACTCCTTTGTGTTGTGCTCAGCGTCCACCCTGTCGCAGTGGAGACTCGGTTGCTGCTAAGATCGTCCCTAAGTTAGAGTGGTCCATCCATGCACAGTCTCCAAAGGTTTGTTTGTGGTAACGTGGTGCCATAATTACTTACACTGCTGTAGAAGAAGCCTTCTAGGAAGAGAAGACGACCAGTCTCTGTGATGGGCCGATTTGAAATCTTGCTGTGATTTCAGAAACTTAAATAGCTTCCTTTGGTTCCAGAAGTTTCCTGTAGAGGATTCCCTGGGGGTTGTGTCCAGGGTTTCCTTTAGATTCTAAACAGTTTTGTGACAGTGAGCGGTGACCTCTTAGAGATGGGTAGCTTTGAACCACTCTAGTGAGCTACCCCTGTCAGTTATGGGCAGATGCCGTGAGTCGCCCCCGCCCCTTTCCTGTCGCTGTGTCCTGCTCTGTTTGTGATGCCCATTGGGCCTTGAATCATTCGGTGTAAATACAGCTTTTGCTCTCTAATGCTTTTATACAAAGGTTTTTATTTTAATAATAAAACATTTTTGTTTAAGCTTGTGTTTATTTTTGCTTTTTAAAAATCAGTATTACTGTACTTAATCCCCTTCTCCCCTTGTGTTTTGAAAGGTCATTTCTGCCTCTTCTACTAAAACTTTTCTCTCTTGGCTTAAGTTTCTGATGCCCACAGGCAGCTCTTTTGATCAGGGTCCCATTTGATGATGTGACTCTTAGCAGAACACACGTGTGCTTGGCAAGTCTTGTATTATTTTCCTTTGTTGTTCACAGGACTTGCCCACTTTTATCAAATACTTATTAAATGTGTTCCACGCCTTGAGTTTTCAAGACTGTAAGAACCAGAACATACAAAAGACAGAAACACTAGAGCAGGGCGTGATGGTACGTGGAATCCCAGTTCACGGGAGACTGGAGCAGGAGGATTGCAAATTTGAGGCAAGCCTCAAAAAATCACTTTATTATTTTTTAGAGAAGATTTTGTTTTATATGTTACATGGGTTTCTTCTGCATATGTGCAGTTGCCCTCGGGAGGTCAGAAGAAGATGTGAATCCCATGGAGCTTGAATCACAGGCAGTGTGACCCGCCAGATGCAGATGCTGGGAACGGAACTGAGTCCATGGAGAGCAGCAAGCACTCCAATTGCTGAGCCGTCCAGACTCCTGTACAGAGCTCTTATAACTAAATTTCTAACCAGGATTAATGAATTACAGTTTGCATGCACATCCTACCGTGTATACCTTTTTACATTTGTAAAGGAGTTTTTTCATTTTCAAAGCACTTGGCAGGCTGGAGAGATGGCATTTGTTGCTCTCGGAAGGACCCATGTGTTAGTTCACAACCATTCATAGCCCTGGTTCCAGGGCATACAATGCCCTCTTGACTTGTCAAACCTGGCTCTTTCTAGGGGAAAAAAAATACTATATCGTAGATCTACCTTCAATGGTAAACCATGGTAAACTTAGGTAGGACCAGACTGAAAGTCATTCACTTGTTACATGGATCCAGAAGTCAGCTACATTTTAGAAACCCAGTTGTAATTCAACCCCATTGAGTGTAATTGGGGAGCTTAAATGCCAGAGCTCATATAAGTCGGTTTATTTGACATTTGTGACTGGTGATTGACTGAACCTCAGGGTCTTCCACTGAGTTATACCCCCAACTGATTTGCATAGTTTTTGATGTTAGTGTAAAGGATACGGTTTTTCCTTTAAAATGATCAACAGTTGTTCATTGTGACACCTTATCCTTAAAGGAGCTATGTAGTCTACCAGAGGGACTATTGAACAAAGCCTACAAGTGATGTCCCCTGTGGAGTGAAGGGAGGCAGCACTGTTTTCTCTTCAGGCAGTTCTGCCATCGATGCTCCCCTCCCGCTTTTTGAGATAGGAACTTGTATGTTGCCCAGGCTGCTCCTAAACCCCAGGAAAGGAAACTGAACTTGCCCTAGCAGGAACAAGAAAGCCTAGGGAGATGTTTAAGTTCAGTCTGGAGAGGAAGGCTGGGTGTCCAGCCCAACCTGGCTGAGCAAATGCTGAGAGGAAGTGGAAGCTTCTGAGGACCAGGGCCCTTCCTGGAGAGAAAGGCTCAGGTGTGGAATGATGGCTACCCAGGGTGATGAATTATTCGCATGGGTGACGGAAACCAGGAGCTTTTGCTGCATGCCTGCATGGGTGAAAACCCTCTAGGCAGGGGGAGCCAAAGGCACTAGGTGCTAGTTGAATGGTGAACACATTAGCAGGAAAGAACAAGGAACAAAAAGCAAAAGCCACTCACACTTGACTTTTAGTCAATCTCCTCAGGAATTTGGGGTTTTGCAATACTGGGGTGTCCAGCTGAGGGCTTCCAGACATCCAGCAGAAACTTACTGGGGAAAGTGAGGTAGTCAGCCCGAATTCCCAATTGAGCTTGTTATTGCGGATGAGTTTCCAGGGTCCAGCCTCCCAGGCCCCCTGTAGGCATTCTTATACTTTGGGATAAACAATAGTCACATTGCTAGAAATGCTTCAATTTTAAGCCAGGTGGTGGTGGCGCACACCTTTAATCCCAGCACTCGGGAGCAGAGACAGGCAGATATCCGTGAGTTCGAGGTCAGCCTGGTCTGTAAAGTAAGTTCCAGGACAGGCTCCAAAGCTATAGAGAAACCCTGGCTTTTTTTCTTTTCTTTTCTTTTCTTTTCTTTTCTTTTCTTTTCTTTTCTTTTCTTTTCTTTTCTTTTTTTTGGTCTTTTTCGAGACAGGGTTTCTCTGTGGCTTTGGAGCCTTGTCCTGGAACTAGCTCTGTAGACCAGGCTGGTCTCGAACTCATAGAGATCCACCTGCCTCTGCCTCCCGAGTGCTGGGATTAAAGGCGTGCGACACCATCGCCCGGCCGGAGAAACCCTGTTTTTAAAAAGAAAAAATAATTTTGCTGGGCAGTGGTGTGCACCTTTAAATCCCAGCACTCAGGAGGCAGAGGCAGGTGGAGCTCTAAGTTTGAGGCCAACCTGGTCTATAGAGTGAGTTCCAAGATAGCCGGGGCTACAAAGAAAACCGCTGTCCTGAAGCAAAAAAAGCTTTAATTTGGGGTGGGGGCAGGAGCTGGAGTGATGGCCCAGCAGCTAAGAGCACTGGCTGCTCTTCCAAAGGACCTGCCCCCCCCCCAACAGTGAACTTGGAAACCTTTTCTCCTCTAAATTGCCTTTCCCAGAATATTTTATCACTGCAAATAATGAAATGAAGATAACATGAGCATGTACGTATCTACTTAAGAGATATTTATAATGACTAATATTGCAACGTATCCTCCCAGAAGCATGATTCCCAAACCATGAATATTGTGGCAGAGCAATGTGACTTTGTTTGGGTTCCTAGGAGTGGTAAGTCAGCCACTGTGTGCGGTTTGTTTTGCTTTGCTTTTTGTTAAACCCACTTGGTCTTGAACTCCTGATCCTCCTTCCTAGGATTGCAGATGTTCACGACTATGCCTGCCCAGATCTACCTGTGTTTCTCTAACCTCGTGCCTGCCAGATACAGCGTGTCTTCACCTTGTCCTTCCTTCCCTGTGCCTTCCTCCTTTAACAGTGCCTGTGGGTGAGGTAAGTGCAGTTTCTATTCCTCAAAGAATACGATAGGAGGCTGAAGAAATGGCTCAGCCGGCAACAGTGCTCGCCGCCAAAGCTGACGACCTGAATCTGAGCCCCAGAACCCACATGGTGGGAAGAAAGACCCCCGAGTTGTCCTCCGAACCTCCATACGTGTGCCGTGGGAAGCATTGACATATACACACACGTTAATTAAAAAATAATGCCGTAGAAAGAATCCTGGAGTAATACTCAAATAGTGTTTGAACATATAATTAAAAGTTCCAGAGAAATACAATCTGGAAAGTGCTTTCCTCGGCCACACAGAAGTTGGCGGTGTGAGGTCATGACAAACCTGCCCTGTTCCCTTTCCTCACTTGCTCTGACAATAACAGGAGTCCATTTTTTTTTCTTTCTCTCGTTTTTGTTTGTTTGCCCGTATTTTAATAGACCGCTCCTCAAGTTTTTCTTCCAAGTTGAGTAGCTGTTCTGTGGCTTCTCAATGACCACCACTGTGGTCAGAAAGCAGAAACCGTCTCTGGAGCTTGCCTGGGCTTCGAAGACATGACCATTCCTCTGATGCTTAGGGAGGAAAATATGTAAATAAAAATTCCTTTATGCAAATGCTTCCAGCAACTCTCATTGCCAGCCAGATTCTTGTAAATCACGATAAACAGATGCTACTGAGCTAAATGACTAAGTGAGATTATGGAGATAGAGCCTATTTATCTTATTCAGTGTTGGGGAGGGAGAAGAAGATATTAACTAAATTTTCCTCAGCCTGCATGATGATTAGGGCAGACACCAAGAACTCATAATTGATTTCAGCAGGCACAATGAGGGGACTAACCCACTGGAGGGCTACCCTGAACAGTAGAGCTTCTGTGGTAATTTAGTTTGTTTGACCATAGAACCAGTCAGGAAAGTTTCCCAAGCAATCTAGCATCAAGCTTCTTGGGCCCCTGGTGTGTTCAATGTTTTGCTACTCAAAACATTGAACTTAAAAAACTTAACTTAAAAAAAAAATCAAATTTAACTTAAAAAAATTTAACTTAAAAAAAATAAAATAAAATTTACCATTTCAAAGCCTACAGTTCATTAGCTTCCAGCACATTCACGGTGCTGTGTAGCGCCTCACTAACTGCAAAACATTCCCAAGTCTCTTACTCTAAAACAGTGTTCTGAACCTCCTGGTGCTGCGACCCTTTCATACCGTTCCTCACGTCGTGGTGACCTCCAACCTTAAAATTACTTCATAACTACTTCAGTACTTATAACATAACCGCAGATTTGCTCCTGTCGTGAATTGTAATATAAATATCTGAGAGCTGTGGCGTCTCGACCCACAGGTTGAAAACACTGATTTAAAGACTGCCTCTCCTCTCTCTCCTTCCCTCTCCAAGCTCCTGGACCCATCTGTTTTCTTTCTCTACAACTGCCGATTTTGGATGTTTGGCATGCACAAGATATAGTGTTCCACTTAGGTTTCTGTTGCTTGGGTAAACATGATGTGACCAAAGGCACCTTGGGGCAGAAAGGGTTTATTTGGCTTAAGGTCCTTCATTGAGGGAAATAGAGACAGGAACCATAGAGGAAGTGCTGCGCTGGCTTGCCTCCAGTGGCTTGCTCGACTTGCTTTTTTATATACCCCAGGGATACCTGCTCAGGGGTAGCACTGCCTTCAGTTTGAATGGTTTTCCTGTATGTATTTGAGTGTACCCTGTCCATACTGTGCTCTCAGAAATGAGGGCATCAAACCCCCTAGAACTGGAGTTACAGACGGTGTGAGCCACCATGTGGGTGCTGAGAACTCAACCCCAGGTCCTCTGTAAGAGCAGCCAGCGCTCTTAACCACGGAGCCATCTCTCCAGCCCCACTCTATTCTATTTTTTGAGATTATCACTTATTGTATGTGTGTATATATGTCTACATACATGTACATATGTATATACAGCATGGGCGAGAAGGCCAGAGGACAACTTGTCGGGTTTTGTGGCAAGTGGCTTTGCCCGCTGAGCCATCTCACTGACTCAATTTTCTTTTCTTTTTTTTTTTATTTATTTATTAAAGATTTCTGTCTCTTCCCCACCTC